GCGCCTGGAGGCGCGCTTAGGTAGTAGTAGTAGTAGTACTACTACTACTACTACTACTACTACTACTACTACTAGTACAGGACAGCGACAGAAGCTGACAAAAGGATTGGTTACGCGGATATGGTTGCAAAATTGAAAGATCTGCGTCTCACGATATTCGAACGAGATCGAGAATTTAGACCAAAATTAAACATGATGAAACGAGATAGGGGCACCGCTTCCAGATAGTGTGAGTAGCCGGAAGCCCTAATCTTGAGTGTTTTTAAGAAGGCCGGTGGGGCACCCCACTATAATCCGGGATATAAATATTCTCATAATCCTCAAACCCATACCGTAACTGTTTTGAATATTCTTAACATTTCTTGTAAATTGTTGAAATATTTTTCAAACATTTCAAACATTTCATTGAAATTGTTAAAATATTTTACAAATATTTCAACTATTTCTTTGAAATTGTTGCATTAATTTCAAAGTTGTTAACATATTTCTTTGGATTTGTTGATACATGAGTTTTCAAGCTTATCGTGTAATATCAAACTCAGTGCATGTTTTTTTGCAGCAATCATCGAAGTTGTGTGTCATGATCTTACGATACGCACTTGCTGTGACTTGTGTGTGTGCGCAATGAACAGCTTAAACGGACCTCGATATGCTATGCTTTCAACTCTACAGATAGGCTACAATACGCCTCATGCGTAGGGTTCTGCGACGAGACCAGACCCACAGACGATGGATCTCATGCGCCTCGCCGCCATGGCAGCCCAGCAAGTGCAGCAAGGCCGAGGCCAGCAACCGAGAGCTGCAGGTGGCCAGGATGCAGGACAAGGAAACCTCCGAGGGGTGCGTCAGGCTCAAGCAGCGAGACATCGGGCCGCTGGCCAGCGTTCACGGGGGGTGCAGCGCAATTTGGCTAGCTTTGCGTTGCAGGCACAGACTTGCAACAGTCTAGGCAGAAGTAGGACCATGGACCATCTGGTTCCTACAGATAGTAAGGAAACCAGACCTCGAATCACTGGTAAAGGCAAATGGAAGATCTGGACCCCAGAAGCAATCCTGCGTGCGGCTTTTGCCAAGGAGGTTCTTCCAGCTAGGGCCATTGCCGCGCAGGTAGACGGGAGCAGTGGCTCACAAGCAAGGGAAACTCGCAGCTTCATCGGCGAGTGTTTGGACAAAGAGCAGAAGGAGGGTTGGGCACGCCATGTCGCACAAGGTCAACATGACTCGGGGGGACGGTTGTCTTATGTTTTGTGCAATATGATGTTTGATGAGACAGAGCTTGAGGTTCATGTGCAAGATTTTGGGCCAGGGCAGTGGAACGTTTTGGCTTCGCATACTCAGTTGACGATTGCGAATTCTGGTGGAGGCCCTGCACGTGATTTTGATATCATACGGCCTCCAAGGACCATTCCAACAAAGCAAGCTGTCACAATGTGGCCGGTACTGTGTGACGGGGTTGGGGGTTTGTTGCCCGGCGTTTGCGAGGTGGAAGCAGGCTTCAAAGCCATTTTGGTCACCTGTGATGCGGCCGCTGCGAATCTCAAGCTTCTTCGCTACCTGCTAGCCGTCACTCCGGATGATGTCCTGGTTCTGCCCACACTGTGTGCGCAACATAGAAATGGCAATGTGATTGAGCGAGTGAGCAAACTTCTAGGGATAATCCCGGGTTCGTTTGCAGTGGCTAAAACCATGAAGGCTGGAGCTGCGATTCAGCAGCTGGTTCGTTCCCTTGAGCGTGTGATGTCCCAAGCATTGGTCGTCAGGCAAGACGAGCCACCTGGGTTGCAGGAGGAATGGGCCTTCGGCCGTCGTTGTGCCAAAGCATTGCTCGATCTTGTTGCTTCAAATTCAGACCATGCAGGTGCGTGCGGCTCTTCGGAAGAGCCGGGGAAGCGGGCCAAGACTGCGAAGGAGTTCTTTGGAGTTCTTCGCCGGGCCTTGGCGAGGACCGACATTCCGTGTTTCGCGTGACTGAGGAATTCAGAATTCAGAGTTCGGATGACGCAGTATCGATCCCTTCCAAGTCAGTCGTTGCTGGGCGGGTCTTGAGAACAGGGACCTGTGAGCCTGTGAGCATGTCATGAGTAGTGCTACTGGTACTGGTAGTGGAAGTAGCAGTGACTTTCCAAGTTGCCGCAGTGGCCTGCTCTCGAGTCTTGTCAGTGTGAGGGTAGTGTGTGTAGACTGTGTAGAGCCAGCAGATTCAAGCGGGTGGCTCCTCCCTTGAGCAAGCTTTCGCAATCGTGCATCCGACACGGCCTCCAGAGTGCTTTCTTTCCACATGATCTTCGACGGGCCCAAACGCAGGGCCTCTGGCCGTCGTTGGAGATGATTCAGAACCCTGAGAAGCTCGAGGCAGCTTTGGCGAAGCTTTTGAAAACGTTGGTGGCCGACAGCTATGGCAATGTGCGCGCCGTCAGCTGGGCCCGGAACGTCTACAACCAAAGGTCGGGTGTTGGTTTCTCCTAGTGAAATTGTGCGTTTTGCTTAAGCTTGTCAAAGATGTAAGGCATTGGATATAAAGGTTGGCGTGTTTTGTGTAGTTTACTGCAGTCTGTTTTCGTAGAGTGTGTCATGCTCCTTTGATTGTGACCCCCTGCAGTCACCCGCTTCACTTGATCCTGGACATGTCGCAGACTGCGGCCGCTGGCCATGGTTCCGGAGGCCAGCTTTGGTTGGGCGGCGAAGCGGCTTCCTCTGACATCAAGGTCCTTGAGAAGCACAACATCACCGTTGTTGCTCCAGCAGCCCGTTCCCCAGAAGTGGCAGAGAGTTCAAAGGTCTATGTGTACCCGTACAAGGATGGCACCGGTATCTCTCAAGCACCGGCATTGAAGATTTAAGATAATGTTGAAGTCATGGCTCATGCAGGCGTAACAAATCAATCGTTAGGTCACCGGGATGAAAGATAAGGAGTATGGCCCAATAGCTATGTATCAGCTAGAGAAACTTTTCAGTTTGCGTTCGCAGGAGACATTCCCACCGTTGAAGTCCTCTCGCTCGTTGATGCCATCATTTCGGACTTGGTCCAGGGTAAGTCCGTGTTGATCTCGTGCAAAAACGGAGCGCATCGGAGTGCAGTGCTCTTGGCCCTGGTCTTGCTGCGGCTGACGGGGAATCCCTCGCGGACGCTCATGAACTACGTGTCTGCGCTCCGGAACATCAGCGACTTCGAAAGCTTGCCGCCGTGCAAAGCCGGCAGAATCAAGGCGGTCGCGTCATCTCAGTACCTTGAGCGGGTCGAGAAGGAGTTCACTCCGGTGTTGGGCCCGCTGTGCGGGCTGCACGAGCTGGTCACGCCGAAGATCTTCACTCAGCGATGCCTCGAGCTCGGGTTCTCGACGATCCCTGCCGCCAGACCCGGGCTCTTTGCTCCAAGTGCCAAGAAGAGGCCGCACGTCGGCAGGCCTTCGGCCGGGTTAGTGGGGCCTTCGGCCGGGTCAGTGGGGTCAGTTGCCAGCTCGGATGACGACCTGGAGACTGTCACATCGTACGAGATGGTGGACATGGCGTCGGACCGGGGCATTCACAATGATACATAATGTCATAATTAGTCATAATGTCACATGATCATGAGAAGCCAGCTATAGTATAGTGTTGGCATTCAAAATTGTTTGCATACTTGGAGCCACAGCCTAACAGCCTAAAGCTACTTAGACTCAGACTAAAGTCACAAGTCGCCTTGTGACGTGTGGCAGCTGTAAGCTGTAAAGCTGTAACGATGTAACTACCGTAACTGCACATTCCTGCAGGACTACGACATGGATGTTCGTGGCTTCGAGTCCGACGCTGCGGACACGATGCGCAGCCTCAAGAAGCCGAGGGGTGCAACTGGGTCGGAGGACTCTGTCCAAGTTTCCGAGGACGACACCGAAGCCTCCTTCACCAAGTTGCAGAGGGTCATGGCGGATCTCAGTGCGTTGGACTCCAAGCTGAAGAGCAAGGGTGACAAGGGTGGATCAGCTAGTGCTTCTCCGCGGGGAAGTGCGGCCTCTGGCCAAGGTCAGGGTGTGCGTCCAGCTGCGCATCCGGATACACCTCGAGGCGGCTTGCCTAGTCATAATTCATAATCCCATTTCAAAATTACAATGCACAACATAGACATAGACATCGTCAGCTAAATCAGTTAGTGAAGTTATAGTCAGAGTCATAGTAGTACAGTCAGAATTTTTCGGCCGATAGTTTGTTAAGTTCTACGATATGTGTGCTAGTGGTTCTAGTATTAGTCTAATATCAAACCTCGACCTCAAACTTGATTGTCGCAGGCCGTGGGTATGATGAGTTCCGTGAGCCCGGCTACGAGTCCGACGATTCCGCAAATTACCAGCCGGCTGAGGAAGATGACGCAGAGGAGCCCATGCCCTCCTTTGAGGATGTTAAGAAGAATCTACAGCAGGCAGGGTCAAACAGCCCCGAAGTCCTGGATCGCATCCTCAAGCTACTGGAGAAGCAAAGGCTGGAGACACAAAGGGCTTTGGCCAGGATGGAGGAGCAAGAGTATTCCAAGGACTTTTGCAACGATGTCTTGCAAGCGGTGTTGTCTCTCCAAGGGCAGGCTGCAGTCGACCTTTTGGAGAGGCGCAACCCGACGACGATCATGCAAATCGTCGACTCGAATGGGATGCACGCACTGCATCACGCAGGCAAGTTGGGCCTCGTTGCCGTCGTTGAGAAGATCTTGGAAATCAACCCGGCAGCCGCAGACAAGGTGACACGTGCAGACGGCCGGCCAGCCAACTGGACACCAATGATGGTGTTGAGTGACAATTGGTCTGGATCAGACGACCAATGCCAGGCACTTCGCTATTTGCTTTGGGCCTCGCAGCCAGCGTCTTTCGGCGTGAGGACTTTGAGCGGCAACACGTGTCTTCACCTGGTGTGCAGTCAAGGCAACACGTATTTCGCCAAGAGGATCTGCTATGCTCTGCAGCTAAGTTGCAGAAAGCGATTGCTCATATTGAATATTCAATATTCAATATGATATTGGTTGCCTTATTCGCTCTTTGCAACTTTGGACTTTGGTTCTGGTTTTCGTAGATTCGAAAAACTTAGAAAGTTAGCAGAGGTCAGTCTCCTGCTTGCAGGTTTTGGGATTTAGGGTTCAGATTCACTATCAAACTTTTATAATTATATATATTATACAGTTCTCCACTAAAAGACTCTATAATCACTATAATCAATCATCAACTCTAACCGTCCAAGCCTGTTGTAACTTTGCAACCCCGAACTTGCGGTCCATGTGCAGCAGTCCCGCGACATGAGGTACTATAAGCTCGACCAGACCCAGGAGGCTCTGAGGGCGGTCACGGACCTCATCAACTCACCCGGTGCGGGCGGGCGAAGTTGCGTGGACTTTGCGCTAGCCGCAAAGGTGAGCCTTGCTATGTATTTGCAGGAAGCGTGGGGTGGCAAGCCCAACAAGCCACCTCCGCAGAGGCTGTACGATCAGGATACACGTTGGCGTGCGCATCAGCAATGAAGGGTTCAGGCCTTGGGTCAATGTTGGTTCATGACTTTCAATGCCTTCAATGCTGCTACAGGTGAAACATGACAGTGGTAGTACTAGTACAGTAGTTGCACACCAACGGCCTGAACCCGCTAGTTGCTTGCCTTCTGCGCCGAGCAAGCTGCTAACACATGCTGCCTGTGGTGCGCTCGCTTCGGCCAATTTTGCGAGATGCTGGGTCAGGCCTCAGGTCAGTGTTGGCCGGGTGCATGTTCACATCACTCCAGTTATAGTGCCGGTTATATTGGTTATGGGCCGGGTCCATGTTCGTTCACACACACACACACACACACGAATCACACGAGTGCCTGACCCCAGCTCTTTGAATGGCCTGTACTGTACTCAGCTATCGCTTTGCCGTCAAAGCTTTTGTAGCTTTTGTGACTTTGTGTGCACCGAGCAAGCTGCTGTCTGCAGTGCCGTGCCCGCTTCGGCCGTCTCACGCAGGGTCAGGCCTCAGGTCAATGTTGGTTTGGTTATTATAAGCCTAGGATAGATGCAGCCAGTAGACTCGCAGAAGTACACAATGGCACCGAGTGCCCGACCCTAGCTCGACCAATGGCCGGAGCGGTAATGGCTAGCCTTTTGTGTGCACAGAGTCGCCGAGCAACCTGCTGTGTTGCAGCAACAGAGAAAGGGACTTTCTGGAGCATGTCTTGCAGCTTGCCGCTAGCGCTGTGTTTTGTTCTGTCGGACAACTTCTGGGGGGGCCACTCGAACCGGTTGCAACCCTGGACAGAAGCCCGTAATGGTCGCAATGGTAGCACGAATTGCCGAGTTGTCACTACCCTTCACGCACATCAGTCCAAGCTGAAATTGAGGCCCAAACCAAAGCCCAAATCAAAGCAACCTACCTCAGCACTTAGGCTTAGGTAAGCCATGTCGTTCAGAAGCTCATGTAGTTCCGTGTCGCACTCTTACCCACGACTTATCGCTGTGTGCAGGACCGCCAACTCACGTCTGCAGAAGAGGATGCTGTGAAGGCAGGGTCGAGAGCGTTCAGAAAGCCGTTCGCCTTTGCCGAGATTTGTTCATGAATCAGCTCGGTATCCCGGCACTAAACAAATGGACCACGGTATCCCCTTCTGCTACCGTGGTAGGAGCAATGCAGCACTTCTGCGGGATCTTTCCCAAGGTTTTCCGAGAATGTTTTCCCGTCAAGCCCTCTGGGCGGTGTTCATCTTCCGAAGACGAACAGGATGAAGCGGCTCAGCTTGGTCAGCCAATCGACCAGACGAAGCAATGGCGTCGTTTGGCCAGGAAGAGGCAACGCAAAGCAGGCGTGTATCTTTCAGATGAAGCTTCCTCTCTGCTGTGGGCTGTTGTTACCGCTCCGGTCATGAAGATACACTTTGCTTTGTTTAAACGAGCAACATGGTATTGCCAGCGAAGCCGACCTGACCAGCCTGAGGCCGAGGATGATTTGAGCTCGACAGCGGCCTTCATTAATGCTGCTATCAGTCCTGCGACAAAATGCATTCGTTTGCTGGGCAATGCTTTGGCTGATCCATCCCATGATTTATGGCTTCCTTTACAAGGCTCCTACACCCGCAGGGCCGCGGGGCCAACGTTTTGCTGTGGCCTCAGGACAAGCTTCGTACGACTCGCAGGTGCGTTCTGACTTTGACTGGACAGATGTGGCGAAAGCTGATCGAAACCTGGGAGCGGTTCCCCTGGAAACTAACGGAGTTTCTCCAAGGTTCCGAGGCTGAGCGTCTGGAGTCAGCCGAGAAACTTCTAGCGATGAAGCCATGCTGCCTCGACGGTTTCACCGCCAAGCTGCTCAACGTTTGTTCAAGCAAAGAGAGCCTAGCCGATGACGAAACCCTTGACTTTCTTCGAGCGGTCTTCGATCGAGTTGTGCCCACATCTACTTACGTTGAACGGATGTTCGCGAGATTTGGGAAATGGGTTGACACCAAGGGTCACAAGTTGCATATGTCGCAACTTGTGGCGAAGCATTTCACAAACACGTTTAGCAGCCTGGTCGAGAGCTGGAGAGAGAAGGAGAGGAAAAAAGGCAATGTTCCGAGGCCCCGAAGCCAGAAACATCGGCCTCTCTGGGCCTTTGCCGGCCGCCAGCGCCAAGCGCAAACCGGCCTGCACCTGTTCACTCAGGACTTTCTAGCTTCCCAAGATCCTGGCCAGGTTCATGGCCGTGGCATGGAGGCCGGCGAGCATCAACTCGCCCGGGCGACTAGAGCCTGGCGGGTGCTTTCGGCGCAGGACCGCCAGCATTGGAAGCGACTTGCTAAGGCGAACAATCGGCAGCGACGGTTGGTTGTTGGCCCAGTGCATCAAATACTTGGCGGGCCGTGGAACTTGGGTTCTTCAGATGGTTTTCCTCTCTCCCGACACATCGTCACCAAGCACATGGACAATCGTAAGCACATGGCTCATGATTTTCGCTTGCGCTACAATGTTCTACAGCCAGAGAACTTCGACTCTATGGATGCGTGGCCCGACTGCCCCTATACCCTGTTTGCCCTGTGCTCCTCTAGGTCGTGTATTTCCAGGCTATCAGAAGACCAAAAGGCAATCTTCGATGAATTATTGAAGCAGCTCATCTATGCGATCATGAGTTTTGCTCCTTTGCCGCTCACTGCCGCCGAAGAGCCCATGGTGCTAGCTTTGGTTTCTTCACAGCAACAGTCCATTTTGTGAACTTTTTTGCCGCGTGGGAGTGCGTCCGTGTGACCCCGTGTCCGTGTGAGTATAGTTAGCAGCCACCACGGCACACCAAGGCATAGGCCTAGGTCGGGTCTCGGAACCATCGTTCTACACTGTTCAAACTAGATATTCTCCTGTTGCCCAGCTCCTTTGATACTTGCAACGCGCACACACAACCACAAACACCAACACAAACAGACAGACAAACAAACAGACAGACAAAGTGACAAACAGACAGACAAGCAAACAAAAAAAGCAAACAAGCAACAACAAACAAAAACAAACACAGAGACACAGAGTCACACACACACACACGCACACACATTGTGATAGGTTTTGGCTTTGGCACTCAGGTTCACGATTGAGGGTTTAGGGGTTTTGGGTTTAAGGGTGTTGGGGTTTAAGGCCGAAGGTTCATGATGTCACATGAGTCACATGTCTATGTCAATGTCTAGGTTTTATTTTTATCGACTGGCCTTTAGACATGAAAATCTTGAGTCATGAGTGAGTCAGAAGTTGGGGTCCATGGTACATGGTTCATTGTCAATTGGTCCGGTAGTAGATCAGTAATTCGTAATTATAGTCATGAATCATGTCATGAGTTATGAGTCACGAGTGAGTGAGTCATTAGCCATTAATATTTTGTTTCAGCCTCAAGTAACTAGTTGCTAGTAACTTTAGCAAGTTTCTGTCTGAGTTTTGTGGACCGTGTTGTAGGGAAGGCCTGCTGGAAATCCTTGCAGACTTGAAGATGCTTGTGTGTGTTTCTGTTGTGTGTGTGTGTGCTTGAGTTTAACTTTGTTTGTGTGATTCAGTGATTCAACGACTAAATAGTGGAGGCTACTATGCCAAGTCAAGCCACAAATGTTGGCCACGACTCCGGTCCCGGTGCTTGCTTTCACTCATGCTCGGTTGCGCAGATCTGCAGAAGTGACTTGATGAAACATGACATGTCGCGTCACACAGAGTCACACGTCAGCTTAACATCATTATTTGGTGTGGGTGCGAGTACCCTGTAGCCCTGTAGTACCTCATGCTGTGCGCTAACCGCTAATTAACGCGGCCTCATGACTTGTGATTTATCACAATTTCCTGTTGTTCTCTACCAGGCGCTACTGAGTGCAAACCGTGTCTCTGTCCGTGTGTCTCTGTGTGCGTGCAGCCAGAAATCATATTAGTCCGTAGGTGTTGCGAGGGCAGTTTCCAGCTCCAATATTTTGACCAAGTAAAACTATGAAGTATCTGTACACCAAAATAAGCTTTGCAACCGTCTCCGAGCCCAGGCTTCGGACTTGGCGGACAAGACCGAATACGTCTGTGTCGCTTACAACACACGGAAGCCGCCAATCGATGCAGCACTGTTGAGGCTCCGGAAGGTTCCCGTGGAAGAGGAAGCCGTCCCGGAAGGAATTCGGTTTCGGTTGCGTGTTTTTGCCGAAGGGGACACCATGGACTTTTGGTCCTTGCGCGACTTCTGCCAGGATTTGGCGATGCAGGCAGCCGACTGGAAGTGCTTTTGGTTGGCCGTTGGCCCGGTTCATCTTTTGACCGCGTTTGACATCACTGCTGCTGAGTACATTGAGCCAGAGGAAGCAGAATCGGCACATCTCTGTCGCGTCCAACGCAAACAAGCACTGGATGCACTGTCGTTGTTGGATCCAAAGCCCAAGCCCGACTCCAGTGCCAGACATCCAGGCCCAAAGAGGAGCAAGGGAAAGAACAAGAAATCTCAGTCGAAGAACACGGAAGCAGCTGAAACAAAGCAGAAGAGCCAAGTGCAAGACAAGGCTTGGGTCCAGCACGAAGAAGCCGAAGAAAATTGGTGTGCCAGCGATTCGTCAGGGTCGCTGCCATTTTGGGTGGAAGATGCCGAAAGCAACGACGAGGAAGACCCAGAGGCCTTCATACCAGACATGGCCGCGTCTTCAAGCAGTTCTGCTCGGGGCCGGAGGGCCATCGACACTGTTGCACCAGCGGCTGGGGAGGTTGGTGCGAGACTGGTCGAGCCACGTGCTGGAGACGATGTGCAACGGACACATCACCGACGTGGCAAAGTGTGGGGCCGCAGGCCAGCGTTTCAGCTTGCTCCGATCTACAGGCAAGGCGTGCTTTGTGCCTACGGGGCCATCTGCCGCAGGCATGATGACCCAGGAAACCGCGGCATTATGCGACTTAGCAGACTTAGCAAGAGTTTAAGTTTAACTTAAGTATATATTTAAGTTGTTTAAGTATAGTTAGCAGCCACCACGGCACACCAAGGCATAGGCCTAGGTCGGGTCTCGGAGCCATCGTTTCTACACTGTTCAAACTAGTCTCCTGTTGCCCAGCTCCGTTGATACCTGCAACGCACACACGCAACCACAAACACTAACACGAACACACAGCCAAACAGACAAACAGACAGACAAGCAAACAAAAAAGCAAACAAGCAACAACAAACAAAAACAAACACAGAGACACAGAGACACAGAGACACACACACACACACGCACACGCACACGCACACGCACACGCACACGCACACGCGCACGCGCACGCGCATGCGCACGCGCACGCGCACGCACACGCACACGCACACGCGCACACACACACACACGCGCGCGCGCGCACACACGCACACACACACACACAAACACACACACACACACACACACACGCGCACACACATTGTGATAGGTTTTGGCTTTGGCACTCAGGTTCACGATTGAGGGTTTAGGGGTTTTGGGTTTAAGGGTGTTGGGGTCCCGAAGGTTTAGGCTTAGGGGCTTAGGGGTTCATGGGTGAACGGCTTACCGGCTTGAGCTCGAGACTCATAAGGCTTAAGGGCTCAAGGCTAGGGAGCTTGGGGTTTGGGTTTCAAGGTTACGGGCTTGGAATCCAAAGAGTTGTCCAGCCGGCGAAGTGAAAGCCCAAAACCAGCATCCATAGACCAGCAAAAAGGTTTAACACAGTACTAGAAGTCGTTCTAGTGATGTGCCCCGAGGCCGTGCAGGAAAGAGATAGCTCTGGGTGAGTTTTCTGAAGAGGAGTGCTACCTCCGCTTAAAGCGCTGGTTGGTCGCGGGACTCAACGACAGCACCTGGCCGGAAGAGAAACGCGCGTACCATGTGTCGATGGGGGGTTTGCGCCTCCGGGACTTCCAGGATGGCCTGACTTCCTCGCAGCTGGATGCAGCTGTAGGCCACGCAGCTTTAGGGGTGGATGCGTAGCCCGAGAAGCTGCGGCCGCAGGTCAGGGTGGGTATAGAGGGTCAGCGCAAAGCAGCTTCCCTCTTGGTGCTCGCTGCAGGCCAGGCTAGTTGGAAGGGAAGCGCAAAGCAGTTTCACTGTTTGCGTGCTCGGTGCTGGAGCACAGCTCCGATCGTTTGCAAAAGCTGCGTGCCATTATCACACACTCGCACCAGCCGGAGCTCACTGTATCGACTGTCCTTTGCGCGCGGTGTTGCAACCTGAGAACAGAGACAGGGACAGCTAGAGAGAGAGAGAGAGAGGAAACAAAGAACGAGCAAGAGAGAAGGAGAGAGCGAAAGATAAAAGAAGGAGAGGAGGAGAGAGTAATACTAGTCCACGATATAGCTAGATGCTGTGAAGAATAATTAGAATTAGAAATATAAATAGAACTAGAAATAAATATATACAATTATCTAAATAAATATTCAAAACAATATAGAAATATTTAAAACAATATTTCAAAGAATATAGAAATATTTAAAACAATATTTCAAACAATATTTGAAAAATGTTTAAGTAGAGAAAACAAGGTTTTAAGTAGAGAATCTAGGGTTTTAAGTAGAGAAACCAGGTTTTTAAGTAGAGAAATATTGTTTGGAATATTTCCAGAAACATTGAAATATTGTTTGGAATATTTCTTCAAACATTCGAAATATTCTTTGAAATATCTTTAATTCAGCACAACATATTCTCAAATAAAATATACTTCTAGGTCGTGATCGCAAACCGCGAACTCCTGAGCACCCGCCTGCCCCCCCCCTAAAGCGCAAATGGCAGGGTCCCCCCCACGCAGAGCTTCACAGCAGTCCACTCCCTTCCCCTCCCCCAGACAGGGGGGGTTTGCACGTTGCGGCGAGTTCCAACCAAAACGAAACAAAAAAATTCGCGAGAGTTTCCCCTGGGGGGCTACCCCACTAAAAGGAAAGAAAACGTTCACATCGAGAGCACTCCCTTCCCCTCCCCCAGACAGGGGGGGTTTGCACGTTGCGGCGAGTTCCAACCAAAACGAAAAAAAAATCGCGAGAGTTTCCCCTGGGGGGCTACCCCACTAAAAGGAAAGAAAACGTTCACATCGAGAGCAGGGAGGGGGAGGGGAGGCGGAGGAGGGGAGGGACCCTCAGCCCTTAGCCAAGCCCGAAACCCTAAACCCTACACACCCAAGCCTAAAGCCTAACGCCTAAGGCCCTAAGCCGAAGCCTAAACCCTAAACCCGAAACCCGACATCGCTGCGGCATAAGGACGAGGGATGGGAGGGGTGTATTGGGGGATGGGGGTTACGTTACGGAGAGGGCGAGGAGAGAGCTACCAGCCAGAGTTTCAACAGAAGAAGAGAGGCTGTGGGTTGTGTTTGTTCAGGTGTGAATCGTGCAGGAACACAGCTCCACAGTGGTGCGGCATGTTTGTTGTTTCTTGCTGCTGCCTGCAGCCTTGAATTGACTTTCTACTTTTTCACTTGCGACGTTTACGACTCTACTTGGCCGTGCTGTGCGGCCTTTGGCCAGGGTTCCTCTACCCCTGAGCCATGGGGAAGCTTCAGAGCAAAGAGCCGCCAGACGACGCCAACAGCAGTGACAGCGGGGAGGGCGAGGACCGCAGTGAGGAAGAGGCCTCTGGCCAGGAGCAGGACATGCCGACAAGTTGGCCGGAGCGGCCCTCCAGGGGGAGTCACAGCGGCAGCACTGTCGCGACCAGCAGGCTTCAGGTCTCTCACGCCTTCAGCAAGCCTTCTTGCTGCTGTCTTTGTGACGCAAAGTCCACCGATCCGACGCCTCTCAGTGAGGCTGACCCGCGTCTTGGTGGCATGACCCCTTGGGGGAAGTACCGCACCATCCAGAAAGACGACGAAGCCTTCCGCGTGCCAGAAGGGCGCCTGTGTTTGGTGTGCCTCAACGTTTGGCGAGCTTTAGGCCAGCAAAGTAAAAGTGTGTGTGTGTGTGTCTGTCTGTCCGTCCGTCCGTCCGTCCGTCTGTCCGTCCGCCGGCGCCTGCCTGCCTGCCTGCCCGTCTGTTTGTCTCTGTTTGTCTCTGTGTGTGTGTGTGCGCGGGTGTGTGTGTGTGTGTTTTGTGTGCTTGTGTGTGCTTGTGTGTG